CGGCCAGATCTCAGCATCTGACTTGCTTGAGCTATTCGGGACAGGAATAGTTAATATTAAAATATATTGAAAAAATACCAAACACACTTTCAGAATGCATCATTCAAGATGTTATGAATTCTTACTTAAGATCTGTAATAAGATCTTGGGTACAAGATAATACAGTTATCTTGTACCTAAATTTTCAAGATCTGTTCACTTATCTGCACCCAAGATCTTGGCCAAGATCTTACTTACAAGATGTTTCACTAGGGAAAGGATACTTCAGATGGTTTTGTATCTGTGTTCAACTCCATGAAATTATAAGACCAAGCTTAGTTATTATTTATATCGAGAAAATCATATTGTGAATGTAGAGATCGATTTTTGTGAGTTCATTCTGACGAAAGTATTGTGATACTTATATAATAGCTCTTTCTTTCTGCATTCTTTTGGTTATGAACGACTGTTAGAGTACTGGACTTTTGTTACAAATAGATAGGTATTAATTTATTATCGATAAATGAAAAAAGGAAATATGTAAGGATCTGAGTTTTAGTCAGTTTAGCTTCGATTAAACGTGCTCTGGTTCTGGTTGTATGTTCCTTGCTTGCTTTTGGAATGTCATATCGATTTGAATATTATTGATATAAGCTCTTGTTTTATATTCAGTTTCAGATAAGTTCCAACAATAAGAGCAGTATATTGATGACTAATGTTGCATGATAGATACGGCTCCATAATTCGCTAATATCTTGGCTATATAACTGACGTGCGAATTAAAATTTCCGTTATGCTTAAAGCAGAAGATGTTTCATAATGATCTTCAATTCTTAAACAAAACCAAATCTTTTTCGATTCCGGCAAAGTCTACATGAAATCCTGAATTTTCGTTCTCTCGAATACAATCACTATTATTTTAAAAAATATACTTGAGTTCCACATAAGATGGAGAAACAACTACACTCCGAGTAGCTTGAAGTGGCCGCGCCGCTACACCTCATTTTTGGACGCGGGGCACATCTCTGAAATATGCATCAAATCAAGACGACGATGATGCAAGCGTGTTTATAATTTTCCTAATTCGTCACAGAAATAGCAACCAAAGAGTGTGTATGAGTTTCAGATCGATGACAAAAAATACAGTTACTATCTAATTCGAAAATAAACAAACAATTGTGTCAAAGTGAAATTACAATGGGCATTTCTCCAAATACAAAAAGACGCTTGCTTCTTATGCTTGGGCTCAATTGATATATTCTATCTGCCGTCATCTTTCACACCGATTATCTGGTACTTTCACTATTCTGACTCATATATTCTATACATTGAATCTTTGGGTAATCCACTGCACTGTATGTTGACCGAACCCTTATGAATCTTCATCGGTAAAACACGTACAATCACTTTATCTTATGCGATTGTAATATTCGCTGTTTTTATTCTATTAGACAATTCATAAATCAGATTTTGTCTAACTACGTAAAATTCGGTCACAAAGGTATAAGCTGTGTTAAGACACCTTCTTTATTCATCATCAAATAATATTTTACACGTTTCCAATGCTGCTGCTTTTGTTCTGTCCACCATCCTCTTCAATATCACTTGATCAGCTTTATCTATTCTATCGAGTAATTGAAGATATTCATCTTTGAATTTCGGATAAAGTTCAGCGTAAGTATTGTAGATATTACCGCCGAAATTATTTCGTGTTTCTTCGTCTTTTATGCATGATCGAGCTTCAACTAAAGCAGTTATTTGAATGATAGTGTAGACAGTTTGCCGATCATCTTTCTTTAAATGACTCAGCAGTTCTAGAAACTCATTGTAGGCTTTCTCATGGTCTTCATCGTTGATCTGTCGTTTTGAAGTAACTATATCATTATAAGTTTTACCATCGCGTAATTTATGAAGGCTAGGAAAACCAGCGTCTCTTGGAATGTTGTTCAGAAATATAAGTGCAACAAACGATATTTTAATGATTGGATGCATTATTTTTTCTCTAATAAGCAAAGAAGAATTCAACGATACAAATATATAAAAAAATTATACCTCTGATAAAAATACGTGCTACACCCTATTGTTTCAATTTTTCGTCAACATTGTACTACCTAATATATATTGGCTTTTTTTGTAAAATATTCTCAAAACGTCACCCATGAACAGAGAACAGAAGTTGAGACAATGGTAGTCTGTTTGATGTACTTCTATGTAAATGAAATCTAACTTCAGTTTTTCGTTATTCCAAGTTATGTCAAATTAATAGGAGTTCAGTAATTCTGTCTGTAAAATTATCGCCGACGCTAGAAATAGTGCAATAGTCGATAAAATTATGTTAATTTGACAAACCTTGACATCAACAAAAAATTGAAATCACCCAGACAAAGTCGTGAATTTCTATTTCACCTAAATAGGAATATATGAAACAGATTTTTTTATTTATTCAGCAGTTTCTCGCTGTTCGCAGTTGAAATTTCATAGCAAGAATCAATTTACATCTGAAAGAAATTAGAGAGTAAACGATATTATGAGAATAAGATGACAGAAAAGCGGGCGGTTTATCTTGACCTGGTATATGTATATATATATATATGTGTGTTGACAGCCACTATTTTACGACTATTATCGATGAATAATGTGGGCCTTTTTTTAGATTGTCATTTTCTATCTCATTGTATTTTCCTTTCCCTATGGCATAGGATTAAAGAGATTCCATATCTTCATATTGTGTTTTAATGATTATTATACCACTTATTTTTGTGAAACACGATCTGAAAGGAGTGTTGAAGTATATAGAGTAGAAATTTGTATCCATTCCCCGCCCCTCCCATCCCCACAGACCGTTACAGAGAAATTAATTAGCCAGTTAATTGGCTAATTAATTAATTATTAAATTTCTCTGTAACGGCCTGTGATGGTTTCTAGAGACTCCATACATCATAATAAAGACTGTAACGGAGAAGCTCCACAGACCATCAGCGACCGTGATAGTCGAATTCCAGAAAAGAAGTTTCATCGTGTTGCACATTTTAATCCTACAGGGATTGCGCTAACAGCTTTTTTTTATTCATTTCCCAAGTGATATAAGGCTGTTAGCTGAATATTTAAAAATCATACTTTCTGCCACTAGAGGCCTGATGAGCTGAATCAAAAAAACAATAATTCAATGAATTCAGAACATTTCAGAAATGAATAAAAAAACATCACTACTAGATTGTGTGTTACGATCGTCCATCTATAATAGATGGCGATTCTCCATCCTTTCTTTTTCGATATCGATATAAAATATCAATAGAGATGGCTTGTAAAACTTTTCCTAGTTGCGATTGGTTGTGTTTTTTCTTCTAGTTGATTGAGAACTGTATTTTTTGTTCCGATTCTTTGTTATTTTTTTTCTAAACTCATTATTTTTCTTGCTCATAAATTTCGTTAGCTGTTCTTCCAATTAATCTATTGTTTGTAAAATTTAAGGTTTACTTATTTAAAATAAAGTTATGATATACAGAAAACCTAACAGCGTGTTACCGATTACCCGAGTAAAGATACATTCTACAATAATCAATGGTTGTCTGCTCTCTAAAAAAAAGAAGGTGCCGTACTGAAGCATTTATGGTTCAAGCGAAGGTCTAGAATCATTTAAGGTTCCGCATTTCTTTCTAAAACCATTTTAATTTCAAGAATTTTTGGGTACAACTTTAAAAAGGTTCTGAAAATGGTACCGAGAATAGATTCAGTATGACACCTTTTTTTACAGAGTGGCCGATGTGGATGGTCTCGGGGAAGTCCTAATAGCTCTTGAATAATATAACTTATCGAGATCGAGTGTGCACTGCTCGGCATAAAGCGGCTTCCTCCATCTAATAAATACTTTTGAACTCGAATTAAGGTGAAACTTGGCTTTAGAAGGAGAATTTGAAAGTTTTTCGACAAAAAACGATCCGATCAGTCGAAACTTGACCGATCGAGTTTAACTTAATGTTATGCCTCTAACATAGCTCTTTCGAATAAGTAAAACTGCAGACCTCTATCTTATTTCTATCAAAATTTATTCAGAATATGATTATTCTTATATTTTGAAATGAATAATATACTTCTCACAGTATTTCCGTGAAAAGTGGTGATTTTCAGTGTAATCTGAATTTTGAGTATTTTTGTTTAACTGTCTATTAGCGTCAAATATGAAACATACTGAGGGCAAACGAAGATTAAGATATTCTTCTACTCTAACTAGTTAGGACATCTGTCTTGATAGCGAAAGTTGTGTGTTCGAGGCTCACGATGAACACTTTCTCTTCGTCATGTCACATAACATCAGTGACACTGCTTGTCTTTTACATTCTATACATATTAGAGCTTACACTATCTCACAATTAACGTGCAGTTCCTTGTTTTGTGATGAGATATGAAAAATTGAACTAACACATAATTTATAGTTTATCCGATGCAAAGGCGGCGTTGCCGTTAGGTTTAACAAGACTCAAATATTTGAAAACGCTTTACAAATTTCATTTTATATTTGTGTTTTGCCGCCAGCAACTCTTGGGAAAAGACTAGTCTTCAGTTTTTCTGAAGGACACATTCAGCCAGGCGTTACTAAGATACGGGTGTGGATACAATGCTCAATAGATAACGCACATCAATAGACACATCCACACCACATACCCACGCCCACCCAGAGCCACTGGGAGAGTCCTTTGCTTGTGTTCTATATTCCTAAGAAATTATAAAGTAAGATATGCCAGCATAAAAAAATAAAAGAAATAGTATGTATGTAGGATTAATCCAAATAGATGTATCATGTTTCAAATTTTTATCCCGCAAGGATTGCGCTAAAAGCATTATATTTATGTATGATTGTTCTTTAATCAAAATTTCGTTATTTTATAATAGGTTCGCCATAGAAGTAAGCATTGCCTGATGCTAATTTAAAATCAACACGAATATCAGTTCCTTCTTTGAGTATGGTTATTTCTAATTCTCCACCATCGTCAACATCCCAAACATTAGCCTGCGCATTATTTTTGTTTAGCTGATATGCTACTCCATTCATGGTAAAGTATACTTGCCAATAACCACGGTAATATGTACTACATTCTAGATCATTTGCACTTTTTTCCGATTTGGAATTTACGTCGCCGATAGCTATTAGATTTGTGAATTTAATATTTTCTTCGGTGTGAATATTTACCGTTTTCCAATCAAACCAATATTCAGTTGCCAATCCTCCTTGAGCTTGTATTTTATTACCAGCGGCATATTTCACTGAGACATTTTTCAAGTCATAGTCAAGTCTGTTTCGTACATTTATTATTTTCAAATGTGCCTTGGACATTTTTGACTTTTCTTAATTCTACACTTCAGCTGAAAAAAACAAGAAAAGTAGCTTTCACAAATATTCTCAATACTCTCTAAAAGCCATGTATTTTGTAATTAGTATGCGATAGATCACTCAACGACTCTACTCTAATAATGAAAATATCATGCCAAGTTAATTTGATTTTTCACACTGTGCGATGGAATACCCAGGTCGTGGTGGTATGGCGGGAAACGACCGGAAAACACGAGAAATCGGTGGAATGTGAAAGCAGTATTCCGATCGTTAATTCCCGGATTTTTTTCCGGTGGATTCCGGTCAACTTCCAGTGCTTTCCAGCAGAAACCGACAGTAAATCATCCGCAAAAACTCCGAAAATTTTCCGACCGGAATACTGCTTCCACGTCCCACCAACTTCCCGTGTTTTCCTCCGGAATACGGTGATTTTTCTGCATCTTTCCGACCGGTTCCTACAATATTCGGTGACCGGGACGATCGACCTAGGTATGGTCATACTTTTGGTGTTGTTTTTTTTATCGAAACCGTAACGTTTTCAAAGTTTGCTTTCATAATAGTTTTGTTATCTATCCAGCCGTGCATCTGATAATATTGCGTTTTCGTAGAGAGAAATATTATATGTGGTAGTATAAAGAAGATAATTCTAATCTGTGATAAAAAAAGAACATTATTCAAAACGCTGTAAGTGATTTGCGGTATTTAAGAGCAATTATTATTTTTCACCAAAAAGAACACAAAAAGTTATTCTGTGTAGTTTTAAAAGTGACTAGCCAATTCGATACAATCACAAAAAGTATTTTCATCTGAATTGAACAGATACAAACAGACTGAAATTTCAATACCAAAAGAAAGAGCTATCTGTAGTTTTTATTCGAAAATGATATGTAAACATACACAATAAGGACTAGGCTCACAAAAAGATGTTACATCAAGACCATGATGTGTGGTTTACCGCTTTCTGAAGCTTATGAGATTCTTCTACAAGCCGTTTGTCGATAGAACTCCATTATCATTTCAAATAATGAATCCAGTTAAGGAAAATTTTAAACTAATAGAAAGGAAAATTGATTCCTACTTACATATTCGTATACTTTTTTTACAGACACTCTTAAATACTCTTCTCTACACTGACTGCTTTATACTTGTTTTATTTATGGTCTTATTTTATCTTTTATAGACTAATTTATCACAATACTGTTTATGTTGCTTATCTGGTCAGGTAAAGCATTAGTAGTAATAGAATTAATGCTATACGAACGTTGTTGATGTCGGGTATGCGATTTGGCTGTGACTGTGAGTGGATGGAGAGAGAATCGTCGTTTTCACCATCATCCACACCCTTACTATTACTAATTACCGAGTAATAGTAATACAAAGTGAAATTAATGTAGCACTCCTAATCGTCACACACATATGCGACAGATTATAACATATATAACTTCAATGTGTTAATTTGTGACTAAATAATGCTATTAATTTCATAACGAATAAGTAATTTTATTTACACATGTTCAAATTTTCTACATGCATGTAACTACTATATACATTATGGTACAAAAAACAAAAATGGTTGTCAGATAATGTCGCATTGGCAGCTTCCATTATGTCGCTTGCTTTCATTGTGACGTAATTCATTTCTGATATTGCTGAAGCCACTTCGTCGTCGTTGATGATTGTCACAGATGCTGGTCGTGACGTAGAAATTGACTATGATGCTTGGTTCACTGCTTCGCTGTGGTGGCGTTCAAGCCAACGAGACTGGAATTCTCGAAATTGAACCATGTGTGGTGATATGCTTGAACTATTAAATCGGTATTTTTTAACATTTAGTTTTTACGAAATCTCGAAATTTTTGACCTTGTTATAATTCTAAACTGATGTTCAAAATGTAGTTCAAAATGAATTATATGTAACGGTCATCATTAGCAAGTTTACATCATTTCCCAGGTCGAACAGCCCGACCTGGAAACGGCCGGTTCCGGGTAAATCCGTTGATTTTGTGGAAGCAGTTTTCAGGTTGGAAATTTTTCGGATTTTTTCCGGTGATTTCCGATCAATTCCTGCCGGAAAGCACCGGAACTTGGCAGGAATTCGCCGGAAAAGTCCGTCCGTATTTTTGACCGGAATACTGCTTCCATGTTCCAGCGATTTCCCGTGTTTTCCTGCAGTATATGGTGACTTTCCCACATATTCCCTGGATTATCCTACGGGATCCGATGACCGGAATGTTCGACCTGAGTTGAGACTTTAATTCTAAGTTCATAGTAATTGTAGTATTAAAGACTTGAGCTTACAAATAATAATAATGCATTACATACATTTATGCTTTATATTAGCTAGTTATTTGTTACTGTATATTCGTTTTTAATATCAATACTAAATATTGACACTTGGCATCTTGTACTTGATATTCGTTATATATATATGTTACATCTACGTACTAATTATTAGATTAGGTTATGGAATTGTTTATGTTGTCATAGTAATACCATCATTACCATCAATTACTATGAATTTAGAATTAAAGTCTCAAATGGTGTAAACTTGCTGATGATGACCGTTACATATAATTCATTTTGAACTACATTTTGAACATCAGTTTCGAATTATAACAAGGTCAAAATTTCGAGATTTCGTAAAAACTAAATGTTAAAAACTGCTGATTTATTCCATCAAAAAATCATTATCATTATTACTTGCCTCGTACTCAAACAAATTCATACTTTTAATCATTTTTGTTTATAAATAGAAAAAAGTAACGAAAAAAGTAACGCGTTTACATTTGCATTTTTTTTTCTGCGTAGAATATACATGTTCTTTCAGTGTAAGGGTAACGTGCGTTGACTCGTTGCATGTATACTCTTTCTTCTTCGCTGTATTTACAAAGAGAAAAACATTTTTTGTTCTTCATTATTCTTTGAAATCTCATTTTCACTCTAGATATGAATTGAAGATACAAAATGTAAATCTAATTTGTCTCAAATTCATTTGATTGTATGTTTTCTGACGACGACAAATAGTTTTGCTCCATGGACAACAATCTGCTTGACAATCGCAATCATACAAATCCCTCGATGATTGTTGGAAAAAAACGAACAAAAATCCCACTGGAGTGTAAAGTCTGTGGAGCTCCGGCTTTTTATTCTTACGTTAGTGTCATCGTATGTTTTTCATGTAAAATGTTCTTTAAACGTAATGCAGAATCAAAACAGGTTAGACAAGAGACACAGGACATGTTTTTGTTTTTCTATGTCAATTCATTCTTAGGAGCATTCCAAATGTCATTTTAATGGTCATTGTGAAATTAATAGTCTTAACCGTCATATTTGTTCATCTTGTCGACTTGCTAAATGTTTTAAAAGTGGAATGCAAATTCAGATGCTTCGTTCGTCGAGAATAAGAAAGAACAAAACAAAACGAAAAATAAAAGAGACTGAAATATTGGCTATTTTAACAACGTTAGACGACACAAATCGAAAACAAAACGTGAGATATTTTATCTAGTTGATTTCATCAATTTTGGTTACACCTGTTTACAAAGATATTGAATCATGCGTCTTCGTAATATTTTAAAATCGAATGTAAAATACTTGGTTTAAGCCAATATGTAAAAGAGAACCAAATAGCGAAAATGGAAGCACGACATGAAGATTAATTAGATTCAGAAACAATAAAACGATATTCTCACTCTATCGAAAAAGTACAGAACAAAACCCATCAGACCCTTAGAGATTTTTTTTCCAAAGATAACGTTTCAATCATGTATCTGAATGGAAAATACAATTTCTTCGAGACGATTCTAGATAGAATATTTTTTTATATGATCAAAATTGTTTTCTTATGAGATCTTTTTATTTAGAAGACGAATGCGAATCATTCATTAGAATTCTTTAAGAAAAAAAACTTCACACCTTAGAAATGTATCAAGAATCTATGAAGTGAACTGAAATTCAGAAAATACTAAATAGATAAGCTAATGAATGTACCGATAAGAGCTTATTGTTAACTATTTCTTACTCGATAAGCAAGTAAATCTAATGATTTGATTTCGTAATCAACTGTATTATTTAAATGATTGCCTATAGAAAAGAGAAATTTGACTCAATACTCTACTCTTGAATTTAGGTGCTAACTTCGAATCGAGTACAATCCGCTCAACCAACACTCAGCATCAATGATTGGAACCTATTGTCAAATTTGACTCAATGTTATGATGAGCTTAGTGGATTTTCATTAGTTCAAGATTTTATGCGAGAACAAAACAGTTTACCTCCGAAAACACGCTACAAAAGAACACCAGTCAGTCAACTTATTCTATCGCTCATATGTCGATCTCAACTATTTTACGAAAACAATACCCATTTTATTTCCGTATGTTCACATGATCGTTCGATTTTAGTTCATAACAGCATGAAATATATCGGAAGTCTTGGTGCATGTTTTATCATACTACATAATAATGATTTACTAAATAATTTAATCTTCTACAAATCTGCTGAGAATTTCTATCGATTCAATACATTAGCTAGCACTGTTCGTATACTTAATCAACTCGATTTTGACAGTACCTTTTTAAAATTAGCACTTGCAATACTGGTGTTCTCCACATTTAACTATACATATTACAATAATCTCGCTCCGGTTGAATTGCTTGACATCAAGACAATCCTACATATTCAAAATATCTATGCTGAATTAACATGGGAATATTTGACCTGTAAATATAACCATAAACAAGCTGTGATGTATATTTCTACGTTTATACGATGTCTTTTCTTTTTAAATGATGCGATCATCGACGCGATTGAAATTAAACAATACAAAGATATGATTGATTCAGTTATTCAACAAGCTAAAGAGACCATCAAATTATATGAATGATTTTTTTCTCTTTTTTTGGTAGTATTTAGAAATAAAAACAGGTTAAAAAAGCTGTTGTGACTAGTAGAAAATGAATTTTTTAAACAAAAAAAGATGTTTCAGATCTCTGTCAACTTTATTGACGAAATTATTCAAAAGGAAAAAACCTAATAACAAAATAAGAGTTTATCACTTGAAATGCGTAATTGTATATTAAAGAAAAAATAAAAGCAAACGGCAATATCTCAAACATGATGCATTTGCGGAATTGAATTAGCCCGTAATCCTATATCTTGATGTGTTTTTCTAATATTTCCTATTTGGTATTTTTTTACTTTCATATGTAAACAATGAGGTTCAAATGGGACCCATCCACTATCAATATAATGTTCGCTATTGGGTGAAGCATGTGATACAGCATCTATTCGAGATGTTGAACTGTCATCAGCAAAAGATGTTTGAACGCTTATATCACAACATTTAACGGTTCGATGGCATTTGGCACAAGTAAACTGAGTAGACGGATAGCGATGAACATTATTTGATTTAAATAGTGTTTCAGCGAGCTGAAGATTATCCATAGCTGCTATTGTTGCACTGTGATTATCAGCTGACAATGCACAGTTCGTTGCATTCAGCCATTGAAGTGTCGTAGCGAAACTCGGCGGAAAAGTAGGTATTACTATACTATGAGGTGATTGCAAATGTTGACTTGTAGGTATCTAAAATAGATTGAACGCTATTATAGAACAAGTGAATTGTAGAAAAAAATGATTCATTTTTTTCGATAGGATTTTTATATGTGGAAAATTAAAGAATGGCATTTGAGATGCATTATATTAAAACTATGAAATTCTGATCTTCCTCAGGAAAAATGAAATTTCATTGAAACTTCGTCTCATAGAATAGTTTCCACTCAGATTGTTACGTACTCTGACTGCATACAAACTATGCAAAAAAAAAGTTCATTTTCAACAGCTGTACCGAGCAAGAAATTTTCGTTTTTATTAAACTTTATTCTGAATAGAAATCAAAAAGCCGACTCTTTTATTTATAATTCTTATTACAGTACAGATCTTAATTTAAAAGGGATATTAGTCGAAGAACCGTGAATTTTGAGAAAGCGTTGTAAGTATAAAAATATTTAGCAAAAGAAAAATTGAAAGGAAGACACATTTTCCTATTTCTGATACATTCATCTTATTCATATCTCAAGTTATCACTGGTAGTTTTACAAATATTCAAAGAACTAGTTATCAGTCAAAAATAAATATTTTCTTAGAAGCAAAATCAGGACTGGCAGTGATCAAAGCAAAAATTAAACTAATAGCAGAACCGGTACCAAAAATGGTTGTTCAGCAGTTCCCTATCTAAAACTTTAACATTTTGGCACGCCAATAAACTAACCTCATTTGAATCTTAGAATTAACTAAAACATTTGATCTTGCTGAAACTTATCCACATCATCGGTTGCATTGTTTTTGTAAGTTTTCAATGTACTTACTAATTCGCTTTTAACGTTCAATTGTTTCTGGATATCTTCTGATGTTGTAGAACTGAATTCATGTGGATTTTGATGTAAAAGACTAACAGCTAGATTACAATCATCTTTATATCGTTGTTTTTCAATTGTTAATTCATTAATTGTATCTTTAAAATTCGAAATTTCTTGTTTAGCATCAATTAATTCTTGTTCTAATTGAAATTTTTCATCGGAAAATATTTCAGCAATCGATAGAATTCGTTCTTCTAATAAACTATTTTGCATTTGTAAATGTCCATGTGCATCAAGTAGTTTTTGATAACGTTCTTGCATCAATGTGAGATCACGCGTAAGAGAATCAATTTTTTCATTATTGGCACTGTTCACCTGTAAATATAGGATAAAATAAATCTTATTTTTTTTATAATGATGAATCTATTGAAACTGATTGATTAAAATAATAATAAAGATATGAGAATATTTCATAACGACTCGCATGAGAAAATGTACATAATGATTTCTAGAAGTTGACGAGGACGTTTTAATCAAACGACGCATAACGTATGATTGTAAAGTACATAGAATACAAAGCCGCCTATCTGACGTCTTAAGGTAATATGTAAACTAGTTGTTTACTGTGTTGCTTTAAAATTAAGTAAAAAGCATACTGAAGATATATCTCTTAAAATAGAAGGAGTAGAAAAAACCCTTTTTGCAAGCAGCTACATCCTGTTTCATATTTTAAGTAATAGAGGATAGTAACAGGCAGTTTCTATGGAGATTTAACGTGCTGATGAGAACTATGTCAAACTCATGATTGAATAAAAACATACCATGTTAATAATATTTATTGTTGAGCTGAATTTATATTTTATAATAATTTGACTAGGTGAGATAAAGACGTTTTTAAATAGATATCTAAAACATAAAGATTTACTGAAGTGTCAACAATATATTAATCAATGTAACAAATTACACTCGTAAACTATCCAATATTATGTCATGACTGTATGTGTTGCTAGTACTGATAAAATATGCCTCATAAAACCTTATATGTTAACACAAACAACGTATGGTAGTAGAGTCAAATTAATTGCATTGATTAGTAGATAGGAAAAAAAACATTTTTGATATAACTAATGAATATGATATTCAAAGTGACCTTGGTTGTTATAGATCAGTATTGGTTTAAAACAATAGATGTCACTGATTTTTTTTAAAATTATTTGGAAAGCTGTACTTTCTTTTATATTGTTAATCATATTTTAAAAAATGGTCTGAGAATAGAATCATTCTCATAGGAAACATGAATTGTCTGTAATGTATTTTATTTTAAATGAATGGAACATATGCCCAGAAAAAATAAATTTTTCACTATTTCAATTACAAAAAAAGACGAGTGAAGCTATGTTTATCGTTCTTTTTCAGCGAAAAAGTAGGTTTATGTCAATAACCATATTCTTTTTTATTCACTTGAAACTTCAGCATGAATGAATATTACATATAAAACTAGGCAATAATCGACCACAACTTTTGCATAAATACAACGATTGCCTAGGGTACTGCTATTTTTCAGAAGTTACTGATCGAACGAATATTAGGTATCGATACTTGTGCGAATGAAATGAAGTCTGTTATTTTCATCAATTAGCCAATGTATAAGAAATAAAATATACGTTAGGTGCAACAAAACCAATGATATATCAAAGCAAAAGTACATCATTTTGTTTTTTCAATAGCTTATCTTTCATATAATCTTTTTGTATATAGTAATGGCTTGATGATACATTTTTTTCTTCTATAGACAATGAAATGAAAAACAAACCGAGACGTTTTCTTTTGTTCTTTTATGCTATCCCCAGTCAGCTACTATATTTGGCTCTTGAATTCGATACACACACCTCCTCACACACATGTGCAGCGTAGAGTGAGACTAAACATATGTATGTCACGTAGAAACATCCAGAAAAATTTACTTTTTGAAAATATAATGGAAAATTGTTCAGTATTTTTTGTGCTTGGTATCATTATTGCTAATGATATACCGAAAAAAAAAGAAAGCAAGTTTCATTTTTCTCTCTCTTTTTTCGTTCGTTTTATCATCAATATTGTCATCGTCATTTCGTTCTTCTTCCCCTTCTTCCTTCTATAGTCCGCATAGGGCAAACGAAAAGAAAAATATATAGACGAACGAGGCACCTACTTTAACTTCATGCGTCCATTTTCATTTTCATTTTCTTCACATGAAAACAGAAAAGGTTGACTTTGCTTTTTCTATTATTATTATTTTTATTATAGATAAACTACAGTTGAACATCAGTCTTATTTATCGATGTAAGAAATTATGAATAGATTCATGTTTCATATTAATAAACCTATTCTAGTATGGCTCAATATTTATCTGCCGATAAAGAAAAAGAATTGGTTCAAACTGCCAATCTTCTGATGGCTAAAGGCAAAGGTTTATTAGCAGCTGATGAATCGACTGGTAGAGAACTGTTGGCAACTTTTTCTTTTAAAAACAATATTCTTATTTAGGTTCAATGACTAAACGTCTTCAATCTATTGGTCTTGAAAATAATGAAGAAAATCGTCGTGTCTATCGTCAAACACTTTTCACTGGTTCAAAAGATCTTGCTCAACATATATCCGGTGTAATTCTCTTTCATGAAACATTGTATCAAAATGATGATAATGGAAAACCATTCCGACAAATATTACAAGAAAAAGGCATTATTCCTGGCATTAAAGTGGATAAAGGTCTTGTACTATTAGCGGGCACAAACGGTGAAAATACAACACAAGGTATTGATGGTCTCGGTGAGCGATGTGCGCAATATTATAAAGATGGCGCTCGTTTTGCTAAATGGCGTATGTATTTAAAATGATCTTCGATCGTTTTTGTTTTCAAACACGAGATATGTTTAGGATGCGCATTAAAAATTGGTGATGGTTTACCATCGGAATTAGGAATTCGTGAAACAGCCAATGTTTTAGCACGCTATGCATCAATTTGTCAACAAGTATAATACGAAAAAAAAAAACTTCATTGAATAATATTTCGTTTATTTAGAATGGTCTTGTACCCATTGTTGAACCAGAAGTAAGAAAGAGGATTTGAATAAATTTTAAATAACTCATTTATCTATTTAGGTACTACCAGAAGGTGATCATGATCTAGAAACATGCCAACGTGTAACAGAAAAAGTACTAGCAGCAACATATAAGGCACTCAGTGAACATCATATTTTCTTGGAAGGTACACTACTTAAACCAAATATGGTCACTGCTGGTAAGTGAAATTGCTTTATTGATTGTATAGGAAAAACCAACAAAATTTTCTTTTCAATATTCAATTTAGGATTTGATTGTAAAAAGAAATATACAGCTAAAGATATTGCTCAAGCAACCGTGACGGCGCTACAAAGAACTGTACCCGTTGCTGTCCCGGGCATTTGCTTTCTTTCCGGTGGTCAATCAGAAGAAGATGCTTCAATTAATCTGAATGCTATTAATCAATATCAAGGCAAGAAACCATGGGCATTAACATTCAGTTATGGACGAGCACTTCAAGCTAGCGTTCTAAGTACATGGGCTGGTAAATCAGAAAATGTATCTAGTGCGCAAGAGCAACTTATTAAACGTGCTCAAGTAAAAGCTCAACAATTGTTTTTTTCTACGGAGATTTTTTCTGTTCATTTCTTTAGGCTAATGGTGCTGCTGCTAAAGGTGAATACGGAGGTGGTGCTGGTGGCAAAGCTGGTGATCAATCATTGTTTGAAGCTAATCGAACTTATTAAAACTAAGATATTTCCATCACCTAGATTTAACATCTATTCGTTTTCAATTTCTTATTTTCTCTGTTTTGTCTTAGATAGTTTTTTGTTTAAAATCGTCCACAGAAAAAACAAGCATTAGACGACATATATATATATATACTTACATTATCTTGTGTAGTTAGTCGTTTTGTTTTTCTTATGAAATTTTAGTTGAATTGTGCTAGTCTATCGAAAAATTTGAACTCCGATAAAAAAAATACGTTCTGGCGGTGTATTTTGTTCGTAAAAGTATATTAAACAATAGCAAAGCATTGTTTTGGAATATACGATACTTTTTTCTACATAATGACTAAAATTATTCCATTTGTTTTACAACACATAAGTTTCTTATCGTTTTACATTTGATAAAATATTTTATGTAGCGCAAATGCCTGTTCGATGAAGTCAAGATAAACGAGAAAAATAAAAGATTACAATTGGTAATGCGGGCACAATGTTGAGATTTGTAGCAAAAAGAAGAAACGATTTGTAGCTCCTTCACAATAAAACATAACAGCGATTATCTTAAATATATATATATATCTATACAGATTATAATATATGATTAATATTCCTTGAAAATAACGACTATTTGATCACAGATATCAATATCATCTCATCAAAGTACTTTTGTTCAAATTCAAATCTCACAATAAAGCTTAGACGATCTAGGTATTCGAATATTTGAAAGAATCAAAATCAACTATTGTTTTGATAACAAAACATTTTTCAGAAATAGTTTTTGTCAATTTAGTTTCGTGTGAAATCGATCTCCGAATCTGTATGTAAAGATATTATTCTTTGAAGTAAAATTGATCGCTGTCATATTTCATTTATTAGCACAAAATAATTTATCTGTTTCATAAGAAAAAAAAATGAGTAGACTAATCAAAACATTGATCTTTTCTTGCTTCACATTCGAATGTTTTAGCAAATTCAGGCATATGAATGAGAGCAGCATTTAATGCTGTTCCTTCATCATACGAGCCCGACTCTGTTCTTAGAAACTGTACAATTGCTTGTCGTTGATAACATTGTGTTTGAGCATAAGCAAGAAAAAAAGTTTGTTCACTGGTTAAATTCGTTCCAGGCATTTTCAATGATTTCATATCATCGTTATTCTTTAGAGCACCATATGCTATGCGTAGTGCACCAATATGTCGAAGAGTCGTCGGTGAAAAAGGTTCACCAGCTAGTTGAACTTCTACCAGAACATCATTGACTTGGTATCTCAATGTTTTTAATTCATTCACATAATAGTCAGTTATACAATTGCGACTATTGTTGTATCCGACTTTAGTTGGAGGTTCCCACCAATCAGTTCGTGTACCATTAGGTAAATATGTTCGACCTGAATTCATTGAAATACATATATATATAACTATTAATGACAGTTGTAAATACTCACCATCAGGACCATCTATACTAGCGAACAGCTCTTGAGCAAGTAGAACACCAATAGATCCAAAATTCATAGCCCTAAAAACAAAAACTACATCAAATGAAAACTAAAAGTTTCAACGTTACCATGGCCATTCAGTATTAACAAGTGGTTCATGCATACCACTAGCAATAACAAATAGTCGATTAAAAACTGCAATATAGTCAAAAAGTC